CACTGTTCTCAGAATACAGAAAACGGGAATAATTAGAGAGAATGGATGAGACTTTAGGGGAAACACCTTATTTACGATTTTCAACCTTTTAACGTGCCTACCGACAAATAAAGTTGCTCTTCCGAAGCCTTTCATATCACTTAATAACCTATACAAGGTATAAAAATAGATTTCATATTGGAGAAGTTTAGAAACGTACACACTTCACAAATAAAAGCGTACCAGAAGATGCACCTGGTAGGTTGAGCATGTTTGGATAAATGTCTGAATAATGTTGTAAAAAATATACATCACTAACCTCTCTATTATTGCATAAATATCACCCATACTCAGCAAGGGGCATCTTCGATCAGCTGTTAAAATTTAGTCACCTCATTCTTTTCCAGACATCTAAAAAGTCGTTTTGAAGAGATTGTGAAAAATAAAGAATTTAGGTACAAGTTCATCCCTAAAACACCAATATAAAACAAATCTAAAAAAGATATATATATAAAAGATGACACGCAAGCCGACATTCCATTGTTTTAGACTTGTTTCTGAGGCTTCAAGGTCGACCGCGTAGAAAATGGCGCCCTTTTTGAAAACCTTGAAGTGTATTACTCTCGTTTTCTTATTCTAATTCGAAACCAGGAAGAAACCAGGTGAGGAAAGATGTCCATGATGACAACAAACGAAAAGGGAAATATATTGGCATCAAAGCACCAGGTCATATTATTTTTTCACCTAACATTTGGCAAATGGGAAGAATTTCTAAATTTGGTGCAGTTAAAAATAATTTTTAAAAAGTCAAGACGAAGTGAACGATAAACAGAGATTTCTTTTCATACCACAAGAATATTTGGCTTTGTTAAATAACTGCCCCCTTTTTTTAGATTCCACCCTCCTGGAGGTGAGGAAGAACAGAAACGTGAGAATAGAGAAGGAGGAAGGGGAGGACGATAAGAAGAAATGGATAAAAGAGAATTATCGAAGAAAAAAAATACGAGCAAAAATCGGGGGAAGGAGTCTTACCTCACCAACACTACTTTGTTATGAGATCAATCTTGCAAAAACAGCGCTCATACTGTGCAACTTCCCTTAACTTCCACTTTGCAACTTCACAAACGGACACCGGGAAGTGCTCGCGTCTTCGTGTGCATTCCACTTGGCAGGGGGAAGGAAGGGGTCGTGGGCGTGGCATGAGGGGAAAGAAGAGAAGGAGACGCCGCCCCTTCGCTGCCCCTTTTATGCTGCGGCTGAAGGGGCAGCTGGTCAGTCCATGATCAGACGCCGGGAGGAGAGGTCGTCGCTCCGCCTCGCGCTTCCTCCCCTACGCCCTTCTTTTTCCCTCCTCACGCTCACACTTCTTCAACCTCTCCCCGCTCCAGTCGTCACTCCCTCCCCACTTCCCCGGCTCTCCACTCCCTCCCCATTTCCCCCGCTCCCCACACTCCCTCCCTCCCTCCCTCTCTCCCCGAAGGCGCAAGCCAGCAGAACCGACGATGCCGCTCCGTGTCCCTGAGGCTCCGCTATAGCTCCTCCTTGGGCGGCGAAGGGCGGGCCGGGCTCAAGGTCACGACCCGAGACGAGGAGGTGGCGGAGAGCTCGTCCTTGGAGTCCTCCTTGGCGCCAGGATCCGGGTCCACGAGGGTGATCTTGGACTTGACCCTGGGGAGTGGAGAACGACCTTGAAATCTCTGGTTTGAGGATAACTATTTACTACTTTTTAAAGCTTATTCATTTCTGTATAGATTCACTATCTTATATCTTTATTATGTTGTATTATTTTTTATCTTTATTACGTAATATCTCTATTATCTTACATCTGTATTACGTTATATTTCTATTATCTTATATCTTTATTGCGTTATATCTATTATCTTATATCGTTATTACGTTATATCTCTATTATTATATTTTTATTACCTTCTATCTTGATCTTATAACATTACTTGATATCTTTGAACAACGTGGAATGATTATTATTACATTCTTATATCATTACTTGATATTTTTAAAGAACTTAGAATGAAGGTCGTGGTTAAGCTTTCATTAATACAATTTCATTCTCTTTAATCAAGGAATGTAGGTTGTCTACACGCGCTACAAGTAATCTTATTATTGAGGCCATGCAACTTTTTTTTTCATTGCAGAGGATTTGATGCAACTCAAAATCAAACGGCCGGTTTGTTAGCATTGTGCGAGACCCAAAGAATATTCGGATACTTGACATGCATAAAGAAATAAATGCATATTTATCAGGCTGGACATGCATATCAACCTGGAAAATAGATAGTTAAATGTATATCTATCAGATATATAGACAGATAGGCCTTTATTTCTGCATCTGTATTTATGAAAATTCATTGGGTCTGGCCTGGCAAAATTTTAACAAACCGACCGAAATTGGTAACTGAAACCTGGACCATTATATGAGAAAAAAAGAAGCATAACAAAGAAAAAACGAAAGACAATCGCTGATAAAGACACAGAAAGAGAGAGAATGAGAAAGAGGGATACA